AAGTCGTTACCACGGCAACGGCCCAAGCCCGCCCCGCCCCGCCCTGTCGCGAGGCGCCCCCTGGCGGACTCAGGCCGCACTCTTTGCCCCCCCCCCCAAAACCGGCAGGCGCGGGGCCTCATGGGAAGTGTAGGCGCTGGGCGGAGCGAGGGGGGTGCAAAATGGCGGCGGCCTCTCTCTGCCAGCGGCTCCAACAGACACGGGTCTGCCCTTAGTGAGCTCGAGTGTTCCCTGTCCCTTCCTCGGCCACCCTGCCCCAGCGCCTCACCGGGTCCGGCCGCTGGGCTCTCACCCCCACGGCGGGAGAGGGGGCCGTGTGGGTGCAGCGCAGGCTGAGGGGAGCTGGTGCCCTGCCTGCAGAGCTGAGGGCAGAGGGAACAGCAGCCCCTCGGAAGCCCCCTCACTAAACCCTCCCGGGACAGGCCAGTTTGTGGCCGTAACTGGGGACATGTCTCGGAGAGGAAAGTCCTGGTGGCCATGAGCTCTGTGTCACAGGCAGGGTGGCTGAAAGGGAGCTGGCCAGGAGCTGCTGGGCAGGAGCCTGGGCAGAAACCGGGATGCTCCAGCCCATGATGCACTGGAACAGGGAGTGCACTGAACGGGGATTTGTTTCAGGCAACCAAACTGGGACTTGAGGTTCCAAAGAGCTTCTGCCACCAGCTCGGTTGTGTTGGACGCTGTGGGACCCCCTCGACACTTCTCAAGGTGCCTGTGGTGGCTCTGGGACCCTGATGACACTGCTTGGGGTGCCCATGGGAGCTCTGGAACTCTCAGGACACCCCTCGGGGTGCCTGCAGCAGCTCTGGGACCCTCACAATGCCACTTGGAATACCTATGACAGCTCTGCAACCCTCCTGACACCCCTCAGGGTGCCGGCAGCAGTTCTGGGACCCTCATGATGCCACTCAGGGTATCTGTGGCAGCTCTGGGACCCTCACAGGAGACCCCCCCCAGGACAGTGCAGAGATGGGATGGTGGGAGCTGCAGAGAGCCGCTCTTCCCCATTTTCACCCTGCGCTCTCCTTGTGATCCTGCTGCAGGAGCTTATTCTTCATCAGAGGCACTGGCACACACGCTGGCGATGCGCATCAACTGCTGACTTAAGCTCCAGCTCTTGGTTGGCTGCTCCGGGAGGATGAGACAGATCCGGGCGCATCCCGACTTGGCCCCTGATCAAAGGCAGGTGCTGACACCGGTTCCGGCTGCTCCCTCCACGCCTGTCCGTGCCCGCGGCAATTAATGTATAGCTTTTTCCCCACATGGGAACTCAGCTCTGGGGAGCAAACGCAATGCTCTGGTGAGTGGCTGTGAGGAGGGACAGTGGTGAAAAGCAATGGCACTGTCACTTGCAGGGGTCATAGAATGGTTTGGGTTGGAAGGGATCTTAAAGATCATCGAGTTCCCACCCCTCCGCCATGGGCAGGGACACCTCCCACCAGAGCAGGTTGCTCAAAGCCCCATCCAGTGGCCCCTCGGGGCTGAGCACGGGCTGAGTCCTTGTGACAATGCTGTGGCACAGGGACGGGGGAAGGTGTCCCTTTTCCTCCCCGCCTAAGTGTGGCGTGGCACAGCTTGTACCTGTCCTGACACCTGATCGGGGACCAGATGATTGAGCTAATGAAGCTGATGAGGGAGGATTCCATCTCCCAGCAGCGCATTTCCACCCAGCCCATTCCCTTCCCAGTAGAGACGGATCTTGGGCACCCTCCCTGTTCTTGCTCTCCAGATCTCATGGAGCAACGAGCAGCTTTGCCAGGGTCACCCCAGGAGGCTGCAGCGATTTGTACCCCCCTCCCCATGTGCCTCGATGGAAGACAGAGCCCCAGCCTCTGGCACAGGATCTTGGGAAGATCCTGTTCCACCAGAACTCCTGTGCGGAGCAGAGGCATCCTGTGTCCTGGGACTGGCCAGGATGGCACAGGGCCAGGCAGGGATGCCAAATCTGCATGAGGGCTGTAGGGGGCTGCTCAGGACCACCATGCTGTGTCCCAGCGCTGTGGGAAGGAGGAGAAGGCAGGGGGAATGAATTTGACCTGCAGCCCCTGCAGGGTCAGGGCCACCATGACCATCACCTCTGGGTGAGGCTGCGTGGGACCGGGGCACGGGGCCATCTAGTCACCCTTGTGGGCACGCAGAGCCAGGGCCACCCAGTCACCCTTGTGGGCACACAGAGCCGCTTTGTCCCAGGGCAGCTGTCCTGCTCCGCTGGCACCCGCGGAAACAGCCTCTCTCGCAGTCAGGCACGATGAAAAATAACTGTAAAAAAGGAACACTGTAAAAACTGGGTGGTGGAGGAGGCGGGGGAAAGAGCTGTGTGAGCAAACGCTGAAAGCCACATGAGTAGGAAATAGATTGTAATCTCCCTAACGAACTGCAGTTAATCAGCGTGAGCAACTGCGAACTGGGGCTTGATGCAGAGCTTGCTCCTGGTGCCCGTCTCCAGAGGGGACCCTCATGTGACCGGGGGCTCTGGGCCCCGTACAACGAAGACCCCAAAGCCACAGGTGAATGGGACTGTATTTAAACAGAGGTGCTTGGAAAAACCCACCCCGATGTTGGAGTGGGTTAGATTTATTATTTTTTTTTGTGCGGGGAGGTTTGCCAGCAGAGTTGGCTTTTGTTCTCAGTTTTTTTGAGGAGCAAATTAGCTGGAGGAGACAGACCGGGCCAGTGTTCCTGAACGGAGCTGCCACGTCCACCGGCCCCCGGTTTGGGTGGCCCCTGGGAGCCTTTGCTGTTGCCTCCTGTGGGCCTTGGACCACGTCCTGAGCCAGGATTCCTGAAACAGGGAGTCCTGCAGTCCGAGGGCATGGACCCAAAGGAAGCCCAGAGCACCGTTATCTTCCTATACCAGCACTTAATTAATCATACAGAGGTGATGGCCCTCCCAGACGTTACCCCTCTGCCAGCCCTGCCACCCAGGGGGGAGTTCATCATCTACGGCCAGTTCACCAGCATCTGTCCTCACCTTGGCCCTCCACAGACCAACCCCAAATCCACCGGGGGAGCCTTTTTCCGTGGGTGGCATCTGATTTCTTTTACTGGGTTCTTTTCTACAGTGGGAATCAAAACCCTGCCCTGCTGAGGAGGGAGCTCTGGTGCCTGTAGGGCCAGAGATGCCCAGGGAAGGGGGTCTGCGGGCCAGCGGTTCCAAAAGCTTCCTTGCTTGTTGGTTCCTGCTAACATCGACGTGACTCTAGTGATGAACAACCACCTTTGGGGAACACACGTGTGAGTTCAGGACACCCCAACATTTCTTGGGGAGGGCCCAAGGCTTCCCTGGCAGTTGCTGTCCCAGGGCCACACAGCCAGGGGCGCAGCGGGCGATGCAGAAGGGTGGCTGGTGGAAACCAAGAGGGAACTGCAGCCCTGGGCAACACAATCCAGACCCACCAGTGGCTTGGGTTTTCAGGCAGGGTGGAAACCAGAGTCTGGGGAGTTGAGTCCAGGTCCCACACCTAGGTAGCCTGGAGGAGATGGCCTCACTGGCCAGACTCCCCAGTGTCTGAACCTCCTGGCACGTCGTGGCTGTAACACTTCCCTGAAGAAAATGGGAGCATCTCTGCCTTATATGTAGTCATCTCTAGGCTCTGTGCTGGTCCCCACTTGTCTCCATCCAGAGGTGGCCGTATTGGCTGTGTCTGCTCGCAGGGATGTGCTGGGCCCCGCAGTTCCCCGCTGGGCTCTGCCTCCCTGCCGGGCTAGTTGGTGGGCTCTGTGGCCATGGTGTCCGCATCCGGAGACGGCGGCACACTGCTGTTCCCACCGTTGCTCACGTTTTCCTTGCTATTGACCCTTGTGGGGTTGCTGCCTTTATCCTCTGCCTTCTGCTTGAGGAGTTTGAGGGAGGAATCTCTCTGGGAGAGGAGGGGTTGGTAGCCAGCAAAGCCTCCTCCACTCACGTTTGTACGCTTGTCTGGGCAGACAGAAAAAGAGGGTCATTTACCTCAGGCCCCCATTGAATTTTCATAAAATCACAGAATAGTTTGGGTGGGAAGGGACCTTAAAGCCCACCCAGTGTGTCCCCCCTGCCCTGGGCAGGGACACCTCCCACCAGACCAGGTTGCTCCAAGCCCCCTCCAACCTGGCCTTGAACCCCTCCAGGGATGGGGCAGCCACAGCTTCTCTGGCCAACCTGGGCCAGGCTCTCACCACCCTCACACCAAACAAGTTCTTCCCCACATCTCAGCTCCATCTCCCCTCTTCCAGTGTCAAACCCTTCCCCCTCATCCTCGGGCTCCCCTCCCTGATCCAGAGTCCCTCCCCAGCTTTCCTGGAGCCCCTTGAGGGACTGGAAGGGTCTCCAAGGTCTCCCCGGAGCCTTCTCTTCTCCAGGCTGAACCCCCCCAACTCTCTCCAGAGACATTGGGGTAAGTTCTCTGAAAGATGGGGGTCCTTCCAGCTCCTGGGTGCGCCCAAAGAGAAGGATATGGGTGGGAGACTGGTCTTGTGCCCCAGTGTGGCTGTGCTCAGGAGGGGCAGGGGATGGTGTGATGGCTAATCTCCTACCTCCTGGCCCAATGGGGTGCATCAGTCTGTTCATCTGGACGTTCCAGTGCTTGACATTGGTGCTGGCCTGTCGCAGCTTCCGCTGGGCCGCCTGGCAGGGATGGAGGAGAGGGGTGAGCTGGCCACTGGACATCACCCAACCCGGGACCACAGGCAGGAGTTTCCCTTCCCTCAGTAAGCCTAGATTGGAGGTTCCCTCTGGGATGGAGACCCAGCTCACTCTCCTCTAGGTCTTCTGCTCCTCCCCAGTCCTCCCCCCTCCACACACTCACGCTGTTGACATTGCTCTGGACTCCAGTGCTGTGCCCCTAGGGCAGGACATGCTTGTCCCATCTCTGCCACTCAATCAGCCCTGCCAGAGCTCAGAAAACCCCCAAGGAAATACCAGCTTGGTCCCCAAAGCTGCTGGGTCCTCCCCAGAGTGGCGGTGACTCAGGGAGGGCTGGGAAGTCCCCTGGGGCTCGCACCATGAAGGGATGTGGCACCGACAGGATGCTCACCATGACGTCTTGGTCCACCCGCTGCCTGTTCACTCTCACTTCTTCCAGCTGCTTCTGCGCCTCTTCCAGACACTTGTTCTTGTTCTCCATCTCCTGCTTGAGGACCTGCTTCTCCAGCTGAGTTTTGATGATATATTCCTCTTGCTCCTCCTTCAGCTTCATCAGCTGCTTCAGCTTCTCCTCTTCTTCAGCCAGTAGCCTGTCAAAGAAGAGCAAGAGGTGAAGATGTCCCTCTGCCACTTCATCCACCAGCTTCCCCCATCCCTGATGACATTCTGGGAAGACACCAGCACACCCCAGTACCCTAAAGAGCGTTGCATTGCCATGGGGAGCGTTTCCCCACACCCAGCTGCTGCCCTGGGAGCGGGGCTGGTTGAGGAGGAGAGGGGATGCCCTGGTCCTACCTGGCCTGTGCATATCTCACAGCCTCCTCGTCCTGCCGTGCTTTCACCTCCTGCTGCAGGGCCTCCTGGAGACGCTCCTGCATGTCCTCCAGCTCCAGGATGCGCTTGCGCTGACGCTCTGCCTCTGCCTCCTTCAGGACCATCTCAGCCTGCATGGAGGCGCGAGCCTGCCGCAGGAAGAGGAGCCGTCACCATGGGCTGGAGCCACCGCCACCATCCCCAGGACCCCCTTGTCCCCGCATCCCTGGGTGGATGGGACTGGACATCTCCCACGACAGGGAGAGCCCATGGAGAGAACTCCAAAGCAAGGCAGGTTCCCCGCTCAGGAGACACACCGCATCTTTTGGGGCGCGTGCTGGCTGCAAGGTCAGAAATGGGCTCACTGGCCATCCTGGCACTAGCACTGGCCTCTCACCTGCCCCCCAGCTTCATACACCCCAGGACAGGTTGTCCTCATCTCCTGCTCCTCAGGTAGCTCACGCACAGTGGTGCTGACCCCTCCATCCCTCACCCCTGGGTCACACACAGACCCAAGCAGCCCAGAGGTAGCAGCAGCATCATTGTGAGAGTGGGACGTGGTCCTAAAAGCTCCTCCAAACCCTGTGGACTGCCACGGGCAAGGGAAGTGGAAAGAATCACCCACCCCATGAGCAACGCAGCCCTGTGGAAGGACACTCCATGAGCATGCACCCACCTGCTCAGCCTCCCGCAGCTGGATCTCCAGCGTCCTCTGCATCTCCTCGTGCTGCTGCCTCCGCCGCTCCTCCTCCTCTTGCAAGAGTATCTCTGCCTGCCGCTGGGCCTCCTTCAGCAGCTCCAGCTCCTGCAGCTTCCTCTCCTTCTCCTCCTGGAGCTGCTTGAGCCGCTGTGTCTCCTCCTCCTTGGCCGCCTTGCGCTGCTCCCGTTGCTCCCGCTGCTCCCGGCGTTTCTGCTTCAGGTCTTTGTGCAGGGACTTCTTGCCCTCAGCCTGCAGCCGGATGGCCATCTGGATGGCTGGGCAGGGATGGGGACAGTCAGTGGGGACGTGGAGGGGGGGACACAGGGAAGTTGGGGAGGGGGCACAGGGTGGGCACAGACCTAACGTCCACTCCTGGCGCTGTCGGGTGTCAGAGGCGCTCATCTCATAGGTGCGGGAGGAGGTCTTCACACAGAACATGCACCTCTTCCCATCCCGGTCAGGCAGGACCTGCAGGGGGAGGACACAGGATGGCATTACCCTCCCTGCATCCCACCTTATCCCCATTTTCTCCAGCCATAGGACTTGGTTCTCCATGCTCATGGATGTGAAATTCTGTTTTCTTGGGCTCCTCTTCCTGGGGTCTGGAGGTGATCTCCTGTTCCCAAGCTGAGTGTGGCCCAGACCGTACCTCCACGCAGCAGTGCTTGTCCAACGCGATGCTCCCCTTCTTCTCCTTCCGCTCCTCGCTCATGTAGTAGGACAGGACACTGGGCTTCAGAGTGAACCACCGCTCTGACCAGTTCCTCCTCAGCTGGCCCTTCTTCCAGAGGTAGCCCTGAGCCCAAGAGACACAGAGATCAATAATGGGGTGGGGGCAGGACAGAGTTTGTGCCCCAGGACATGTGGGGTCCTTGCCTGTTTGAGAACATCCTCGATGACCTCCTGGTAGACCTCCTCCACAGCCATGCTGATGGCCTCCTGCTCGATGCCTCGCAGGAACCGCCCTGAGTTCACCATGTCCAGGAACTGCCAGACCGTCAGCCCCCCCTGGCCTTGCAGCTCCTGGGAGAGGTAGTCATCCAGCTCACAGGAGTTCAGCTCCACGTTCATGGCTGTGCAGATCTTCTTCAGCAGGTACTCCACCTGTGGGGACAAGGAATTCAGTGACAGGGAGAAGCGAGAGCCATCCCCACCCCACCAAACCCATTTTGGAGAGCCCCAAACCACATCTTTTTCCAGCCTGGAGACACAGGACCCTTATCCCAGAGGTATCACCCTTTGCAATGGTTGATGGTCATGGCCAAGCTGCTCCAGGCAGCAGGCGGGCTCAGCAGGTTGACATTGGGTTAGAGCTTGACCCACTACTGGGAGGTTTTTTCCTTTTAAGCACAAGGGTGAGATGTTTTGGGCTTGTTTGTCTGCAGAGTGAGAAAATTTGGCAGAAGCGCCCAACGCTGCTGTCCCCACAAGGCAGGTGTCCAACCACGGCCCTGACCTCAGCACCCCCCTTGGTTTCCAAATGACATCGCAAAAACACTGGGAAGGAGCAGGGGAAAAGGTCCCTATGGAGGAGATGAGGGTTGGTTTGAAACTGTCAATAAATTGCTTTAAAAAAAAGAGCTGAAATGGTTGACGTGATGTCCATTGCCTATTTCAGCTCAGGTTTTGCTGCCAGCTCTCCTCGACCCACGAAGGAGGGACCAGGGAGGGTGGGTGACTGTGGGGAGCCCTGCAGAAAGGTGAGACACGGCGGGGTCCCCGCACCCAGCTGGATTTATTTTTTTTCTTTTACATCATCTAAGAGAAGGGCAAGAATTATAGTTTATTTTTTAAGAATTTCTAAATTATATATATTTTATTCTTATCATCCTATATTTTATATATTATATAATTATTATCATTTTCTTGTAGTTTATTGATTAAGAAATTTAGTTCTTTTTTTTTCTTCTTCTCTTTTTTTTTTTTTTCAAGCCCAGCCCTGTAAGCAGAGAGATGATTCAGTCTGTCACGGTCTGGGGAACAGGAAGCTCCTCTCCCGGGGTGCAGGAAGTGCGGTCGCCCTCCCACATCTGCGCAGCTCTGCGCTTCTTGTCTTTTTTTTTTTTTTGGTGCCTCCTTTTTACTTTTTTTTTGGCCTTTTCTGCTGAGCTCAGGAGGTTGATGGTGTTGAAGCAGATCAGGCAGCAGCGGCTTGCCCAGCTGAGCTCCTCCTGGCGAGGCCGCTCTAGGCTTCTGAGCTTGTCCCTCCTCCCTGGATCTGCCCACCTTCTCCTGGGGGTTTGATCTGACCCCCCTCTCTGGGAGAAGGGAGAACCTCCCCCTCCAAATGCCGGGTGGAATTTGGAGATTTGGAGATTACTGCCAGAAGCTTTGCTGCGCCCGGGTACCTCGCTCTTAACTCTCCAGATGCTGGGCAGGCGCTGAGAGGGACATTGGGTCTACTCTGCCACTGCCATCGTGGTGGCACAGGCTGTAAAACAGCCCCAGAGACAGCCCCATCCAGCCCGACAGTGATTTCATGGAGAAGAACCTCCCACTGCACCAGATTTTAAGGGTTTGTCATCATTTTCTCTTTTTCCCCCATGATCTTCATGGGGGAGAACACCAACACCATGCTCCATTCAACCCTTGGGTGAGACGCAAGAGCTTTGGGTGAGGGACCAGCCCCAGGAGGAGCTGAGCTGAGGATGCTCCTTGGTTGGGACTCTGAGAACCAGCACATTCATTTCACAGGAGGCAAAAGAGCTTGTTAGCAGAGGTTTGGACCATGGAAGACCAGTATGGACCAGCCCACACCTCATCCTCCAAGACTTATATCTATATCTGAGAGGCTTCAGCGTTTTGTCGGGGGGAGTGTCCTCCCAAATGCTCCCAAGTCACCCCCTTCACACCCAGCAGGGGGGTGCCCAGGGCAGACAGCCCCTTCCTCCCACCCCTGGTGTTCTCTCTCACACCCTGGAGCACCACCTCTTGCAGGATGTGGTGGGACATGCCAGGAAGCGATAGCGGGATGTGTCACCCCGCACAGAGCCCTGGGAGGACAGGGATGGGGCAGGGGGGAGAGGCAGGTCCTACCTCATCCGGCACCATGACGAGAGGGTATTTGTCTTCAGACAGAAAGTTGAAGAGACACCAGAGCTTGAAGGCATCTTGGTGGGATACAACGCTATTCCCGTTCCGGTCGGGCTTGTAATTCTTCTTGGCCGTCAGGGTCCAGCAGAGTTCGTCGAAGTTTTCTTTGACAAAAGCACCTTCCTCCACCTACGGGCAGGAGTCAGGGGGGTGAGTGTGGTGCTATGGGGCTACCAGGGGGGTTTTGGGGGCAAGCACTGGGGGGAAGGCACTCTTACACTTGAAATCCCCTGTCCCTGCTGGTGAGAAGCACGGGGTGATGGATACAGGGGGCCAGACCTCAAGTGTCAGTGGGCACTGACCTGTAATGCCAGAGTATGTGTCCCCAGCACAGGTCCCTTACGCAGGTGAATGAGGAGTCCTGGGAGGATGCTACGGGACCACTGCAGTGCCCGGGCACTGTGACATGGCCACAGGGGCTCAACCACGTCCTGCTGGGCTTTGGAGCCCCAGCAGGAACCCCATGGTACAGCATTCCCACCCAATTCCACCTCCCCAGTGCCTCCATGGCTTTGGGTCGCTCTCGTTATCCCATTTGACCATAAAGAGGAACCGGAGCTCAGCAGAGGGAAGTGATGGCAGCAGGGGAGGCAGGAGTGATGCCTCCATCAACCTTGGCCCTGTTGCCCATCCACGAACTTCTGCGACCGCTCGCCTGGCACCCCGAGCTGCTTCACGCAGCAGTTTTGCTGCAGCACCAAAGGAGCCCCGGCCACCTCTGGCCCCTCCATGCAGCTGTGAAAGCCACACGCTGCCGGCACAAGGACAAACTGCAGCGGCAGAGCCGGAGAAAAACCTTCGGGTGCCAGAAAGATGAAAGGCCCCTCTTCCTAGGAAAATCCACTTCCCCTTCTCAGCCCCTGGGATTTCATTAGCCAGGGCGAAACCAGAAGAAGGGGGTTTAAGGCCGTCTCCCGCAGAACCACAGGGGAAACTGGAAGGATTTTGGCCGCTGCGTGATGGGGAGATTGGGCTGGGCTGACTTGGGCAGAGGGAGGGAGCTGGGGAAGGCTCTGCCCTCACTGAAACAGGCATCTCTGGACCAGGCTGGGCGAGGCAAGGACCGGCACGGGGACGGCATGGGGACAGCACGGGGACGGCATGGGGACAGCATGGGGACGGCACGGCTCAGCCCCGGGGAAGCGGCAGGGGAGGGAAGGGTTACTGCCCCCAGCTCTGGGCCTCCCCCTTCTTTCGAGCAGAGGGTGGAAGAAAGTTGTCAGTCATTTTTCCTCTCCTCACATGCCCGGAGGAAGCACGTACCCGGCCGCAAAGTCTCGGCTGCACCAAACAAAGGTGCCTTTCAGGCAAAAAAAAAAAAAGGGAGAAGGCCCCTGCCCACCCCAACCTCTTCTCCGTCCCCGGCACCTCGTCCTCCTCCCGCTTCTCCTCTTTGCCAAATGAGGTCACACCTCACATTTGAATGGGGGTGGAGAGGAAAAAGGGGCTGATTTCTCCTTCCGAGCCCTTTAGGAAACGTGGGCAGAGATACACCTCCATTCAGAGCCTTGGTGGAAAGGGCTGACTTCATCCTTGCCACAGAGACGTTGAGTGTTAAACATTTCTCACTCAATTTGGCATTTACCTGAGAGCTCCCCAACTCTTTCCATCCTTTTTCCACCCGTGGGATCTCCAGGAGCAGAGGGGAGCGGAGCTGTGGGGCTGCCACAGGATGCAGGAGCAGCCCAGGGACCGTGGTGTCCCCAGCTGAGACGCAGCAGGTCGAGGGGGTGGCCATGGAACTCACCTTATCCAGGATGTACTTGTTGAGATAGGGCATGTAGCCCTGGCTGGACACCGGCCCATCGTCATCATCACGGAAATGCTCTTCCAGCGCCACGGGGTCGTGAGGGATGCACAGCACCGTGTAGAGGTTGTGAGACAGCACCTGGCCAAGGACAGGAGACGGGAAGAAGGTGAACCACCCTCCAACCCTGCCCCAGACAATCCCCACACTGCCACCACCCAACCTGGGGACAGTCCCCTGCCCAGCATCCCCTCCCTGCGGCTGCAGCGGCCACAGGTGACTTGGGTTTGGCAGAGGGATATTCCCCTCTCCCCCTCTAATGTAAACCTTAGAGAATCATTTAGAAACAGGCAAAAATTGAGGATTTTTCCACATTCGTTTCTTTTCTTTCTTGGCACATGGGCAACTCTTCTCTTCTTTTTTTTTTTAAAAAGAGCTGTTTCAAACATTACAGAGCAAACAGGACATGCTTTGATCTGGAAAAGGTGATAAGCCACCCCGAGCCATGCTGTTTGGCAGCTGCCCCTCAGCCATTTCTTGAACACTTTAATAACTTCAGTGCCCAGCCTGGCAGCGGTCGCTTTCTGCCAACAGGGCATAGAAAGATGCAAAGGTGAAAATAAGAAAAGATTTCTAATAAACTAAAAACAGGTTTTGTCTGGAATGGAAGCAGACACAGGGGATCTGGAGACACACCTTTTCCAGAAACAGCCTGGGAATGTCACCAGCCAGAGAGTTTTTGTTCAAATCCCTCCAAAACAAAGCGTGTTTTGAAGCTTCCAAACTTCCCACGTGCTGGAAAGCCCACACCGCTGCCGGGCCAACATCTCCATGGGCACCACCAGCATCTCCAGCTCATGATGCTGGGTTGTCTCCTGGTCTTGACCTCCCAGCAAGCAGGAGATGGTTAAACGGGCGTCCCAGACTGCTGCCGTCCCTTTGCACCAGGGTTTGCAAAGACAGTTTGTAGGGTTTGCAGATGCAGCTTAGCCCAGGGTTCAAGAGGAGATGGGGTGCAGCATCCCTGCTCCTCCTCCAATCCGTCCAGGGCTGGAAATTTCCTCCCAGCAGGAGAGGAGCCACCGGAGGCCACGCTGCAGCTGGAGCCGGTTCTTGCTCAACCAGATTTTCCTTCTCTTTTTCAGCCTCTGGACTGATGTTATCAGCAGGACTCCACCCTGCACTGTAGCCCCCAGCGCTGCCGCTACAGCTTCACCTTTTTTGCCTTTTTTTGAGGTTCGGTGCAGCCCCAGGGGCTGCACAGGGGAGGGGAGGGATGGAAACACCCTGGGCATCCACCGAGATGGCTAAAAATCCACCAGGATGGATTGAGAGTTTGGGAACCGCATCCCATTCCTTGTTTCCAATGCGTCGTCCCCATCTCTCACACCTCCTCTGGCAGCACCCCAAAAAGCCCTGGGAGGTCTCATGTGTGCCATGGCCAACACTCCGAGCCCCTCAGTCTGCCCTGGCACACACCAAACCGCCGTCCCTGAGCTCGCCGGGGCCGTCACCTCCAAAATGAAAGTGGGGCAGGGTGGGGAGGAAAGCCCCGGCCAGGCTGATGTGGGGCGCGTGGGGCTGGGGCTGCCCCAACCCCAGGGACACAGGAGAGGTGGGACCCCATCTCTCACACCTCCTCTGGCAGCACCCCAAAAAGCCCTGGGAGGTCTCATGTGTGCCATGGCCAACACTCCGAGCCCCTCAGTCTGCCCTGGCACACACCAAACCGCCGTCCCTGAGCTCGCCGGGGCCGTCACCTCCAAAATGAAAGTGGGGCAGGGTGGGGAGGAAAGCCCCGGCCAGGCCGATGTGGGGCGCGTGGGGCTGGGGCTGCCCCAACCCCAGGGACACAGGAGAGGTGGGAAACTTCTCCCCCCCACCCCCCCCCCCGCCTCTGAAAGGAGGGATAGGAGGGGAAAATAACAGGGGGGAGAAGGGAAGGGATGCTCTGAGCTTTTTGGTGACGCAACCTTTCCCCTGCTGCATGGCGGGGGGGCAGAGGTCTGCCTGACACCCCCAGGCACCCCAAATCCCTCTGAGCACCAGCTCTGGTGTTCTCCACCTTCTCCCCGTCCCTCCTGCCCACCATCACCCCCCGGCTCCCACCCCTCCACAGCCACTGCGACGGCAGCCGGAGCCGGGGGTGGAATATTTAATGCTGCTAGAGAATGGCAGCTCCTCTTCTTCTCTCCCGTGGGAGATGCCGGGGGCAACGCCAGGCCTGGGGGTGACCTTTCGGGCTGGAGCCTGGCTCCCCACATTAACACCAACCCCTCTGGCCCCAGTGGGTGGGAGCAGGGGGCTCAGGGCTCCTGCACTGTGCTGGGAGCATTGCTGCTGCCTCAGTTTCCCCACGTGCAAGCAGAGCGGCCCCGCTGAGAAAACCAAAGCCTCCCTGGAGCTGGGGGTACAGGGAGTCCTGTCCCTGGCGACCCCCAGTACCAGAGGCCTTTGATAGCTGCTGGGGTCCCTTTAGCTGCCCATTTTCTGCAGCGAGGAGGACATGGATGTCCCATCAGCCAGGATTCCTTGGCTCAAGCCCAGCCTCGGGACCATCAGCTCTCCACCTTGGGGAAGCCTTCCCCCCCCCAGCTTGAAGGGATGAGCTGCTCTTGGAGTTGTTACTGGCCAAACTGAGACCCACTGGCCTGTGACAAGAGCCTCTTGTGCACAAAACAAGCAGAGAAGCTTTCAGCCCAAGGCCGGCACCTCCCTCCTGCCTCTGGGAGGGCGTCCATAACCCCACTGTGCTGACCCAGCTCCCCAAGCCACCAGTTATACCCAGAGACCCCCACAAGTCATGGGCTCTGTCTCCAAAAGGAGCAAGAACCACCTCCCCTGCCATTCACACCCTGAGCCTGCAACCTCACACAGTGGGTGGAGGACCCCTGAGCCCCCCCAAGTATGTATTTCAACTGCTCGCCCATCCCTCCGTTGCCTCCTCTCTGCTCCCCAAGGGCTTTGCTGTAGCAGGGCAGCTTCTGGAGACCAAGCTCCACTCATCAAACGTCTCCTCTCCCTCTTAAATAGGGGCAGGAACGGAGCAGAGGTGCCAAAAAGCACTGGGATGGTGCTTGGTGACCCCCAGCCAGGCTCGGCCACCCCGAGGTGGGGTGCCTGTGGGAATCCCACATCCCAGCCAGGATCCATGGAGATGGGGGGGAAGCTCCCCCAGGGCAGGACACGGTGGCCGGGAGAGAACAAACGCTTCTCCAGGAGCGGGGCCGTCGGTGGGTGCCCGCGCTGGGAACCGACCCACCCGACATCTCTGGGTGCACAGCAACGCGACCACAAAGACTGTCTTTCCTTCCTGTGCAGATACACACCTCCACTCGCACGGAGGGACGCGCAGGCCTGCTCGCAGAGGGGTGCCCAGGCAAAGGACCCAACTGCTGAACCCAACGGCTTCCCCACAGCTTCACCCTCGTGCCTTGAAACACCCCTGAAATCACTCCTGCGACAGGCTGGAGGGAGGTCTCCTCTGCTGCTTCTCTGCCAGCAAAATCCCACCCCGTCTCCCGGGGCTGGGGTTTTCTTTCCGTCGGTGCAAATGCCACGAGTGCCAGTGTTTCTCCCACCCTTGTTCAAGACCCTTCTTGCAGCAACACGCCTGGGAGAGGGCGCAGAGCCCAGCCCAGCTTTGGAGAAGCCGTGGCCACCACAGTTTTAACAGGTTATTGCTCAAACCTGCCAGACCCTGGGGTTCTTCTGCACTGAACCCACCCAGAAACACCACTGTTGGCTCGCGTGGGCTGGGGCAAAGCACTCGGCGTCGAGGGGTGATGGAAACGATCTCGCCCCGGCCTCGGGGACGATGGTGGAAAGTCATCCAGAGCTCAGCTTTGTCGTGCAAGGGCCCAGCCCGACCCACCACCGTCCCATTTCGGCCCCAAAGGCGGGTGGAAAAACAGCGAGGGGTGAATCTCCCTTCCCCTCCGAAATGTCACCCTGTGGAAACGCTGTCCCCAGCGTCCCCATCACCCCGGCACGAGGGTTTGCATCTCCCCCAGCCCCCCCGGAACTAACTCTCTAGGAAATTGCTGTTAAAATTAGGGTCTCTGTGGCCTCAGCATCATCTCTGGTGATTAAGATCTTGTGAGAGAAGTGCTGTGCGAGTTCACGCCAGCGTTTTGGGGGCCCTGGCTGGGCTGAGGACCCAGAGCCTGGGTGCAGGGGGTGCTGCCAGGGGAGCACAGCCGCCCTGGGGATTAGCCAGGGGAATTCGGCTCAGCCCTACTTTAGGATTTTCCTTAATTCCTTCAGCTATTTCTACAGTTTCAGGCAGGCGAGCGCGGCTCACGGGGCACTCAAGTTTCTGGGCAGCAGCTGAAGGAGGAGCCCGGCTTCTCCTCCAGACCCCTGCAAATGAAACTCTTAATTTTGGGGCAAAATACACCTCTCTCCACCAAGCCCAGCACCTTCCCTGCAGTCTGCCCTGGGGGAAGCCCTGTGAAGTAGAGGGAATAGGGGAAAAGAGGTTTCTTCGCAGCGTTTCACAACTCCCCTCGCACGCCGGCGGCGGCTGCCAAGTCCTGACGCAACATCTCCCCGTGTTTTGCATGTTTTTAGCTCAGGTCTCTCCCCTGCATCGCAGCCCCCTGCTCCCACCAGTGTTCCCAGGCTAAAAACCACGAACGGGACATTCATATGGTGAGAAAGGAGGAGTCCCATCCTTTGCAAAAGCGGGGGGGGAATAAAAATCAGTTAATGATTGTCAAAGCTGAGGTGCAACCTGGTGGATTCCACCAGACCCCGTCTCAGGGGCAGACAAAAAAGCTTTAAAAACCCACGATGGTTTAGAGGAAGGGCTGAACGCATGAGCTCTCGGCGAAGCTGCTGAAGGGGTGAGGGAGAGGGGAAAGCAGAGATTTTTTGAAAAAGCTTTGTGTTATTTCTGGCCAGACCACTGAGGAGTTTTAGTTTAAAAACAGTCTCCCTCTACCTACCGACCCGCTGGGCTGAACAGGAAGCAGAAACGGGGGTGCTCTGGCAAGCAAGAAAATATAAACCAATTTTGGGCTGTTAGTCACCCATAAAAAGCATAATAAACCGAAAACAATTAAAAATTAGATTTCTCCTAAGTTTCACCTGGAAAATACACTTGAGCGTTAACTCCCCCACCTTCTTTTTTTAAAGGGAGATGAGGCAAAGCCAAAGAACTTCACCAAAACAACCGTGGAGGTGACGGCAAGGTCTGATTAATCTGAACATTGACCAATTCCTCGGTGGGAGCCCTGGGGGGATGCAAAGCATCCCTGGTCCCTCTGCCCCTCGCAACCCACCCACCC